ATTGGCTTTCCATTTCTTCCTGGAAGGATATGAATTTTGACGTTTGGTTTGGGAGTGACTTTGTTGTGATCTGGCTGAGAAGCCAGGGAACCAAGGAAAGAAGACGGATGCACAGGCTGTTCAAGGGAATATAAATACCCTTGAGGATCATCATCTTCTTGGGATAAGGATTCAGAATCAGTTTCTTCATCTTTAGAGAAAGGAAGAACATATTGTGTTTCTTTATCCTGAGCATCTTGTTCTTCAACCACATATTCTATATCTTCATCTTTGTTGATCATTAGAACAGTCTGCAAGTGTTCCAGCATCTTCACATCCTTTTTTGTCTTGTTAGGACAACTTTTTGCAAAGTGTCCTTTTTTCTTACATACATAACATCGGTCAGATTTCTTTGAATATGGCCTACGCCTCTTAAAATATCTTAGGAAAGGCTTTCTGGATCTTCTCCTGGAATAAGAACCCTTTGGATGTCTGAATCGGCGATAATGAGATTTTTTCTTGGTAGAACAAGAGCAATCTTTATCATTTTTACATTTTATCTTCAGATGCAGTTTCTTGCAAGCATGTCTGAGTTTTGAATGTCCTTTTAGCATTCCTTTGAAGAACTTCTGTTGTTCACAGAGCTTATCCACAGTTGCTAATGCCAATTGAGATATTTCTCCAAGAGAAATGTCAGCCATGTTTCTATGGAGTGCATTGATAGCTCTATGAAGTTCTGGTTACAGTTCATCTGGAAGAGAGGCAACAAAAATATGCCTGAGGTTGACATCATTAGCTCCTCCAAGCATGTAGTATTTTTCAGACATTCTCTGGAAATGTTTTTGCAAATCTCTTTTGTCTAAGGAACAACATTTCATTTCAAAATATTCTTGGCGATACCTTTTGTCAATGATCTGGAAATCACCAATGAATTCTTTGTGAATGAGTCCCAGAAGAGTTCCTGCATTATCAACTCCGGCTGTTGCTATCTTCTGGTAATCACTGAGACTTTGATACCATTCTCTTAGTATTCCTGTTAGTCTTGAGAGGAATTCTGTGAGAACTTCCTCAAGAGTTGCATCATGCCTGGCCAACTGTAGGTCAATCCATGCTCCAAACTCATGGAGTCTGTCTCTCCATTTTTCTAGAGAAACATCATCAAAAGTGAACCATGGACCTGTGGTAGGTTTATAGTCTGTTCTTCTTGGCTCAGACGTATGAGGGACAGATGGTTCTTCATCAATAGGATCTTCAACTATAGAATCTGGTTGGACCATTGCTACCTTAGAGATATCAGCACGATATGTCTCAGAATCAGAGTTAGAACTGTATTCAATGGAGGAATCAGACTCAGTTTCAGAGGTTCCATCTGTTGATGACCGGTCCTTATCCACAGATTGGAAAGTGGCTATGGTTTTGTTTGGATCATCAACTTCTTTTCCTTTTTCTCTATCTAGAAGAGAAGTTTGTTTTGGTGGAGATGATGGCGGAGTTCTTATTACAACTCCTTGAGAGGATGGTGTTGGTTCAATAGGTTTAGTGTATGAGGATGATAGGTAGAAAAGTCTTTCAGATAAGGAGAAGTGAGGTGGTCGTACTGGAGGTCTGGGAGGAGGATTTGGTTGGACAGATAAAAGAGTCGGTTGTCGAGATTTTCTCAACTGTCTTAAAATAGGATAAGACATTTTGAAAACCTTGCTGTAATCAGATTGTCTGGGATAAGAGGGAGGTGATATTGGATATGTAGGAGGTTGGAAACTAGAGGGGTAAGACGGATAAGGGTCATAGATGGTTTGTGAATGATCTTTAGCGATGTCTGACTCGATCCTTTGCAAATCCTTTCGAATTTGTGACAGTTCTTGCTCTTTCCTGGTAAATTCTGGTCCAATATACCCTTTCTCAATAAATCGCTTCAGATCTATATCTAGTTGGTAAGCCTGAGAAGATAGAGTCATATAGAGCTGTTTCACTTGATCAGAGACTTGGTCAAGCTTGCTTGTTAAAGTATCAGTTCTAAGAGTTAGCAGGTCAAGCTTTGAATCAATCTTTGTCAAGGTTCTATTCTGGCCAATTGCATTCTGGGTCTACCAGTTGAGAACTTCTTCTGTTGCTGAGACTGGTCTAGCTTCACCAGTAGGAGAGATTTCTGTTGGAACAGAGAAAGGTCTTGTTGTAACCTTTGTTTCTGTTGGTTCTTCTTTCAAGGGGAGGAAAATCCTGCTCATAAGGATCCATCATTGCTATACACGGGACAGATTGTTGGATGACAGGAATCACTGGATTTGGCCTCTGTTTGGAGAGGAGATCTTCATGACCTGTTTCTTTTAGCAAATCATACAGAGATAATTTGCTAGAAGGAATAGTAGGGACATGAGCCTTCCAATTTCTAGCTTTTTGTTTCGGACCATGCTCATCATCATCATGGTGATGATGGTAATGTTTGTGGAAACAAGGAGATGTATCCTTCTCCTTCTTCTTCTTTTTGATGACATATCTGATGGGGTAAGACCATCCATCTTCGTCTTCGTTGTCAGATGCTTCCCACCAGTAAGGTGTATCACACTCACAGTCAGGATCACATTCCTTTGGTGCATGATCCCAAATAAAATGGCCATTTATATGAGACACATAACATGGCTTGGCAGAAATTTAATTTATTAATTAAGCTAAAGACAAAAATACAAACACCACTAGTGATCGAGCAACAAAAGAGAAGAAGACTCACAGATCCCAAAAAACAAAGAAACAGATTTAAACAACAAACCTTCAAAAAGATGACTTGAAAATATCTGGTTAATACAAGAGTTAATTGACTTGAGTTTATAATAAATAAATATATTTTTTTAAAATACTTTTATTAGTTATGCGTATTAGAAGTACTGTTTGATGAGATTTTTAATATGTGTAATTACTATAAGGATTATCTTTAAAAAAAGAGATAGAGTAAATTAGAGTACTACATTTAAAAACAAATTAAATATTAAACTAATTCTTATATTTACAATAGAAAGAGTCTGCATGTGGGGCTTGTACGCTGCGTTTAAGGGAAAGGAAAAGCTAACCAAAATGCCCTCATCTCACTCTTGCTCGCTCGCACCGCCGTCTCTTTTGTTCTTTCATCATCGTCGACCCAGTGTGTTTCCAGAGGCTAGGTGTAATCAAAATTCAATATAGGACAACATATTATCTATATGTGCAAATGAAAATCCCTCTAAATATCTTCTATTGTGTTCTCTGAGGTTAGATACAATTAAACTTTAATAGAGTATAACATATCATCTGCATGTGCAAATGAAAATCTCTCTAAGTGTAATTGATCTTTCATTGTGTTCACTTAAATTTAGGTGCAACCAAACTTCAATAGAGGGCAACATATTATCCATATGTGTAAATAACAATCCCTCTAGGTGCAATTGATCTTTCATTGTGTTCACCTAAGGGTATCTTGGTCTTTTTTCCTTGCCATATTTATTTACACTAAAGGACCGCAGCCTTTCAAAAATTTCTAGGGACCAATTCTCAAATAAATTTCTAAATGGATATTTTTCCTTAAATTTATTCCGTAATTAAGAATGAAAAAATCGCAAAAAAAATTAGAATAGATGGGCTCTTTTTTTTTTTTTTAACTATAAAATTACGATTGACACGTGTTTTTAGAAGTACCTTTCAGTATTTGAAATAATCATAAATGAAGAGGGAAGAATAGATTTCGAATAATTCAATCGAGTGATAGGATTAGCGACTTGTATTGGTTGTTTCGGCGTATGCTGTCTTTTCTACCACCTTAAAGGTGTCGTTGCCTTGGGATATAATTTGCCTTTTCTAATGTCACATTCCTGAAATTGGATCATGCATGGGTTATGAATTAATGTTGATAAGTAATCAAATTCATGTTTTTGCTTTTCACTATAGAGTAATGGAGTGTTTGGATACCCAAAATCAATTTAAAAAATATTTTTACGTAAGTTGAGACATAATTTTATACACGGTAAAATTATTTTTAATTAAAATCATGGTTTAGTTTTACTTAAACACCTCTGATTAGTTGATAAAATGTTTTGATCTTTCTTGTGTGACAAGAGATGTAGTCATTTGCATATTGCCACCTCATGGGCGCGCTTTATTGACTTTTGATTAAATTATTTGGACTGACTTATTTAGGAGCTATTTGGAATAGTTTATAAATAGCTTTTCAATTGTGATTTACGGAATACGAGATAAATATGTGAAAAGAGTTTTGTTTCGATTTATATGAAACGTGTTTATAAATGATTTCAATCGTAATGACAAACAAGGCCTTAATTGCTTTTATATATATATTTTATGTGACTCAAGAGAAAACTCTTTTTATATACTACCTCTGATCTTAATTATAAGAGCTAATTGACTAATTTGAAAAGATTAAGAAAATAAATTAAGTTAGTTATTTATAATAAATATATGTTGTCATACCTAAAATATCCTTAATCAAGTTTATTGGCTAAAACTACTATTATTAGAATGATTACTTTGAGAAAAAATATATACATATGAGAGACAAAGTGGATTGAGTTCTTATAATTAAGACCAAATAAAAGTTAAATAAAAGTCTTATATTAAGAATCAGAAATAGTATTTATATTGCATAAACCATTATTAAAAAATTCTTTATGAGTCATTCTAAATGAACTTTTAGAGATTGAATACTGACGATAGAAAGCCGGGGCCTCTTAATTTTCATGCTTGTGACTTTTCAATAATTAAGCTGAGAAAAATAAAAAACTAAAGAAACATTCCTCCGTCGCATATGTTAACAACGGCATATTGACTTTAGGAGTAATTGAGTGTGAGTGTATCCCATGCTTAAAAAATTATGTACTAACCAATTATAAAAATATGATAACCCGTCGTCTCACGTTTTCACCCCATGGGGTTTCCCGATGTAAAATATTAAGTACTCCAAATACTATTAAAAGAAATTTATATTTTAGAAAAGTTAAATTAAGAGAAAAAAACCTATATTATGGATGGAAGAAGTAATTAAAATTTTTTAGTTTTATTTCAGTTTCACCGTTCCTAAAATACATGGAAAATAAATCATATTAATGAAAAAAATAATGTTAACACATTTGTAAGGATATTAAAAAAAAAATTACTATGGAGTCCTACATAAGTAATTAATAATTAAAACTTGTCACAACAAATAAACAACATGACAATAACAAGATTTTGTGAATGAAATGACAATAAGTCATGTGTCATGACATATGGATAATTCAACAGATTTTTTAGTGATTAAATTACTTATATGAGAATGCATAGTTTTTTTTTAAAAAAAGAATATTAATTGTTTTAAATAATTCATGAAATAAATTATATATTAAAACATGATCCAGATTCTGTATTATATTTAAACTGGAGACCGTGATAGTTAATTCCACGATAATATCAAGATAAAAAAAAATTGTTAACCATAGCTACAAGTAAAAAACAAATTGGAGAAAGAAGTGGAAAGAGATACACATATACACAATAAAAGTTGCAAGACAACTGAGGAAAAATTTGGTACAAATTTTGTGTTCTCAGAACAAGACACTCTCAAAAAAATAGGACCACGGGAAATAATACAAGGCGCTTCAATTGATTTATCAAAAAAAAAAAAAGTATTTAAATCTGTCTTAAAGTGAAGGAAATTTGCGATTTCACTCATATTAACTAAGGCTCTAAAGGAGGGGGAAAAATACAAGAAACCATATTTAAATATTAATTATAGAAGCGAAATTGATATATACGTACTGCCTTCATTTATTTTTATAAGACATAAATAACCAAATTAGGTAAATAAAAAAGTTGGTTACAACCAACAAAATGTTAGTTAAGATGGTATGCGGTCTTACCCTCACAAGGAAGAGAATATAAATTTAAATATCGAAAAACGTACTTGTTAGGAGGGTTTTAACTTTAACGCTTTCGGCTCAACAGAGATTAGTTTTAAGCTAAAATAGTTTGAGGATACTCTGAATTATTTTTTTCAAAAAAAAAGAGTTGGTTAGAACTGGTTCAAGGCAATAAATACATTAAAAAAAAAAACAAATACTCCCCCCATTTCTTAATACAAGACTTAGTTTGTAATTCAAATTAAATTATAAACTAGATGTTGTCCATATTCGTCCTTTTACTTTATCGTTCCTGCACCCATATAGAGTTATATGCTTGATTATGGTATCAAATTTCACTGTGAGCATTCTTGAATGATGAAAATTATTTTTGTGCTCATCATCTCACTGGTACACACAATTGTTCTCTGGCCAGTTAATCTCATTTTTATTCCAACCATGCTTTCTTTTTCCTTTGTTGTTCAGTATTCGCCATTCCTTTTCTTCGTCAATTGCAGTACGTAAAACATAACCTTCGTTTTAACCTGAGTTTATTTAAAGCAGCAGTTGCCACTATTGATAAAATAGGATATCTGAAGGCCTAAGCTAAAGGATCTGGAGAAATCAGCGTCCAGAAACAAAACGCGCGGAACAAAAGTAGGCAGGATCAGTGGTTTGCCAGACTCAATTCTTCTTCGTGCTCTCTCTTTTCTTCCTGATAACGAAGCAGTTGCCACAAGTCTCTTATCCAAGAGATGGAGGCCGCTTTGGCTTTCCCTTCCCACCCTTTACCTTAACCGTCAAGACTTTCAAAGGCTAACATTCTTCCATAGATTTGGAGACAAAATGCTCAAATTGGTGGATTTGAAGGCTGCCAAAAAGTTTGTTCTCTGGTATGATTATTTTGGATGTGATGAGGATTTTAGGCTTCGGAAGGTCAGCAAGTGGATTAAAGCTTTGATTGGTAATAAATTTGAACATCTGGAGCTACATTTGTGCACGCAGGTTGATGACTATGAGTTGCCCTCTAGTGTTTTCACTGGTAATAGCATTAAGGTTTTAAAGTTGGGTGGCGAAATAACTGTGGGCATTCTTTCTCATGTTAATTTGCCTTGCTTGAAGTATTGGATTTGGAAGATGTTTATTTTGCAGATGATAATAACTTAGGAATGCTTCTTTCTGCATGTGCTTTGCTTAAACACTTGCTGCTAAAACTTTGGGATGTAAAGGGTTACGGTCCACTTGAGATTTCGTTCCCTAGTTTTCAGTCTGTCTTGGTGCTTTAACATGCAGGATAAGTGGCCATTTACTGATGATATGCCAATGTTTTGCAATTTAACCCACCTTGAATGTGGTCTCGCCGGAGAGTGGACTAGGATGGTGAACTGTCTCCATAACATGCACAAAGTTCAGAAGCCTGTAATTGCAGAGCGTCCAATTTTCTGCAAGGTTTGAAAATTTGAACCCATTGCTTTGAGTTCAAGCAATACCTCGGTCAGATTTGTGACTGATTTAATTTTGTGTATGGCCAGGTTCATTCTATGTCGGCTCATGAACCAATACTTGATGTGCCTCCTCGTGTTTCCTTACATCTGAAGGACTTCACTCTGTTTTACTTCCGAAGTTGTGAAACAAATTGTGAAATGGTACGGAGAATGCCAGGGTTTTGGAGACTGTCACTGCCATGAGAACTGATTCATCTAGATATGGGCACCGAATACCGTATGTGTATTATTGATTTCTCGGAACTTAGATTTACATATATTCCTCAACTTATGTGTTATGGGACCCAGTAACAGCTGCCAGAATCAATCTCCTTGTATAATGGGAGAACAGGAAGGAAAACTTGAGAGCTAAGACATCTCTTGAGGCAGATTGAGTTCTGATTGTGAATCCAGTTCGGACTAAGGAAATCAACTCAAATTCACTTCCTTTCTTTTCCTCTGCCATGTCCTTCTTTCTAAGGTTAAGAATTTATTAGATGATGCTTTCATGTAGCTTGGTTCCTTTCTTGTTTTCTAAATTTTATGTATATTAATGATTAATGATAGTTGTTTTTCTTTTTGGAAAAAAAAAAAGTTATCCAGCTCTTTTATTATTTCATACTCCCGTATTTACAAGCAATCTTAGATTAAATCATCTATATAGTTAAAATTGATTAAAAATAATAAATATATAAAAATTAATTTTTTTAAATGTCATTATTTATGGAAGAGTAATTATAGCTCATTATGATTCACTTTCTCAATTTTTAATTCGGTTAAAATTTAGTCTTTAATATTTTATTATTTAATAAATTAATTCTTATCCCACATAACTCACATTGACTCATCATCCAATCATTTTTTGTGGCAAAAAACAAAAGTGACATGGCTTCCAAATAAGCTACCAGCTCCATTCATATTACCCACAGCCCCTCCTCCGTTTCGACTTGTCGATCCTCTGTCCTAAGATCGCTCAGCAGAGAGCAAGCAAAATGAGCAAATATTAGCGATATAAACATTTTATAATAACTTTTTGTTTGTTAGATATGATAACAAATACACCTTCTGTTCTTATTTATAAAATACAGAAATGATTACAAGATATATTAAATTTTTTTAGTTTTTATTTTATCTTTATTAATTATTTATTTTAAATTTTTAATACATAATATATTTATTGTCTCATTTTTTAAAGAATTATTATTTGTATTTTAATGATTTTTTATTCTCTCATTTGAGAAACAACTTATAATTTTATAATTTTTAATTAATTTTAACTAATTTTTTTTAATTAATGTGATTTGACCAAATGCACATGACGGAGTGAGCCCTAGTCTGGTAATTAATAATTATTGACTATGACTGCAGCACTGCACTATACCGACTGGAAAACATTACTCGTACACGCTAAGCTGCTCATCCCGAAGACCACCTCGTTTTAAGTGGCCCAATCTGACCGTTAACTATAAAATGATCATGGCCGTCAAATTTAACAGGGATTTGGGGAGTTTTGCTTCAATCTGAGAGTCACATGCGAACGCGACGGGGAAGAGGGGGAGGTGGGTTTTCATGATTCAGTTCCTGCATTTGTTTAGAAAGACACGATGCACTGATTCTCTTCCTTCCTCTTCCTCTGTTATTCTTTTCGATTCCCTCTTCTTCCCCTGTCCTTTTGTTCTGTTCTTTCATCCTCCCTGTTATTCTTTTGCAGTGTTCGGAGATGCCGGAAAATTTTATGAATGGTAATGGTAGAGCTGGAAGATGAATGATCCCGGTTCTATTCTACTTTGGTAATCGCTTTTCGCCATTTTTTTTTTTCCTCCGTCCTGACCCTGCTTTTTCTCCGTCAATATTCTTATTGTGTTTTTGTTTTTGTTTGGAACATAAAATTGCAGTGTCCACTGTAAGGTTCTAACTACATAAAGCAGTTGCCAAACTTGATATAAAACGATCTCTGAAGGGTTGAGCTAAAGGTTATGGAGGAATCAGTGTCCACAAAGAAAACGCTTAGAACTGAAGTAGAAGTTAGGGATAGGATCAGTGATTTGCCAGATTCCTTGCTTCTGCATATTCTCTCTTTTCTTCCAGCTAAAGAAGCCGTTGCCACAAGCCTCTTATCCAAGAGATGGAGACCACTTTGGCCTTGCCTTCCCACTCTTGACCTTAAACGTCAGGACTTTCAGAGGTTGAGATTCTTCCATCGATTTGTAGACAGGATGCTCAAACTTGCAGATTTGAAATCTGTCAGAAAGTTCGTTCTTTGGCTTGATTATTATGATCATCATGAGTATTTTAGACCTTGGAAGATTAGCAAGTGGATTAATATTGCTGTGGTTAGTAATAAAATTGAACATCTGGAGCTACGTTTGAATCCGGATAAGGGTCACTTTGAGTTGCCCTCTGGTATTTTCACTAATAACAACATTAAGGTTTTGAAGCTGAGTGTATGGAGTCTTTTGTCGACTAGTGGAGTAACGGTGGGCACTCTTTCTCATGTTAATTTGCCTTTACTTGAAGTACTACATTTGGCAGATGTTGAATTTGCAGATTTTAGAAGTTTGGGAATGCTTCTTTCTGCATGCCCTTTGCTTAAACACCTGGTAGTAAGATTTTCGCATGTAACCAATTACTGTCCACTTGACATTGGAAGACTTAACCATTTGGTCACTGCAGAAGTTCCAGAATCTCTACTTCCATTGAAAGTTTTCGCTAATGCTACTTTTCTGTACTTCCATTGGGTATGATATATGACGATATTAGTGAATTCACATTATTGCTTTTTTTTTTTAGCTGAGTTTTGGTCTTTCTAGTCCCTGCAGCATAATTCGTCACTACTGAGCCATGATATTCCAACATTTTGTAACTTAACCTACTTGGAATTCAAATATTTTTCTGGAGACTGGAAGACAACACTGAAATTTCTGCAAAGCTGTCCCAAGCTTGAAATTCTTATGATTCATGAGGTTTGTTGATTCTCAACTCTTTTTTCTTTTTTTTTGGTTCATTATCATTTGACCCGTGAAATTCCTTTGTTTGGGTAGTTTGGATAGTTAATTTACATACGTGTGTGGATAGTTTGCTTGTAGTGAAAGCTTGGAACCGACGATTATAGATATTCCTCAGTGTGTTTCATCAACCTTAAAGGAATTTCATCTTGGCGGCTACCGAGGCAAGAATTATGAATTTGAACTTGCAAGATTTATTATGAAGAATGCAAGGGTCTTGAGGATCATCTCAATTAGCAAGAGTTTTGAGTCCAGAGCAACTTGGAAGAGCAGGAACTTCAAAAAAATCTCCTCATGCCCCATAAGATCAGTGAATTGCAGGCTTTTGTTGAAGTGAATTGGCAATATTAGAAGTTTTTATTCCTTTTTGGAAGGTAGTCCTTCTATTTATCTTGGGAAAATTTGGAAGTCTTGATGCTTTGTCCTTCGAAACTGAACACATTATATTTTAAACAGATGCTGATGGATGTTGTTGGTAAATTCAATTCAATCATCTTTCTAGCTGCTTGGTTTCGAAGTTGCTATATAGTATCAAGTTCCCATTGAAGTTAATACTTTTAAGAGAGAACTATAAGTATTTCTATAACATTTATACGATCTAGTTACTATCTATTTTTTACAACTTCCCAGAAGGTGACCAGGATTTAGAAAGGCTAATAATGATACTTAATTATAGTATCAAATTTAGCGTGACAATCTTAGAAGCTTATCTTCCTTTTTGAAAGATATCCCTTGCAAGATCTATGGCCTTCATTTAGCTCACTTGTTTGTTTCATTTACCTGACATTTTATTTAAAGGCTTTTATGGATGGAATTTTCTGGGATTGAAGTGATAGTTATATGTGAAGGTAAGATGGGAATGATCGATCTCTCTTGTGAAATCAAAATCGAAGTTAACACGAGATAATTTAATTATCTAAAAAGAATCCATTTTAAATATTCATTTAAAGTCAAGCTCAAATATTTCAATTTATACTCAGAATCTAATTCTGCACGAGAAAGTCAATTCAATCCATGCAAAGATGTTATCTCAAGATGGAGGAGTGTTTGTTTGGGCTACTAATATAAATACTTATTCATAATCATTATTGGGATCCCAAAAAGCATCTATTCACGTAATTTAAAATAAAATGTCTCTCATATATTTATTTTATATTCTATAAATTATAATTGAAAAGTTATTTTTGAAAGATGTTACTCCAAACAAGTTTTAGATTTTTCTCTTATACATTTATCTTGTATTTCATTAATCATGATTAAAAAATTACTGTTGAAAAAGCTCCCACTATCATTCCAAACAAGCCAAGAGTTCTCTAACTAAATGCAATTTATTCTTAAAATTACAATTGATCCTTGGTTTCATAAGTACTTCTCCGATCCTTAATATAGGACCCAATTCTTGAGTTGGTTTTGGTCTTAAATAGAAGACCCATTTCTCATATTTATCAGTTTTCTCTAAATTACCCTTATAGATACTCTCTCAATTATAATTAAGTAGAAGAGGAAGATGAGGTATTAAAAAAGGTAATTATGGTGTTTTAGAAAAAAAAAAGTCACTTTTCTTATAATTAACTAACTTACCTAACTTTTTTAATCTAATCAAATTAGTTAAATGGGTTTTATATTAAAAACCGGAGGGTAGTGTCTTTCAGTATTTGGAAAAAAAGGTCGTGAATGAAGACGGAACAATATATTTCGAATAATCAAATTGAGTGATGGGATTAGCGACTTACCAGATTGGTTACTTCACCATATGCTCTTTTCTTCCAACGAAAGGTGCGGCTGCCATGGAATGTAATTTCATTGGAAGCCTTTTCTAACGTCACATTGCTAAAATTGGATCATAGGTTATGAATTAATGTTGATAAGTAATTAAATTTATGTTGTTGCCTTTCATTATAATATGTGTTAACCAAATGTTTTGATCTTTCTTGTGTGCCTAAGGAGGACATAAATATGTAGCCATTTGTATATTGCCAACTAATGCTTGGATGCGGTCATAGGTTCAAGCCCAGTATTAATTGACATATAATCAACAGGAATTAGATTTAACGAAAATAGTTAGTCCCTCACAATATGAAGAACTAAGGTTTCAATTTAAATTAGGAGAAGTATATATATTTAGTACTTAAAAGTGCTTTGAACATAATTGTTTTCAATATAAGGATACCTGCACCTTTAAAAAAAATTGTTATTGGAATGAGTACTCATAGAAAACTGGCCTCTAAATTTATACATCTGACTATTCAGTAATTAAGCTAAGAAAAATAAAAAGCTAAAGAAATATTCCTCCCTCACTCATGTTAACAAATACATATTGATTTTTGAGTGTATTCCTTGCTTAAAAAAATTAGACACCAACTAATTGTCAACAATATGATAATCTGTCGTCATCTCACCTGCGTTCTCATTCCATGGAGTTTTCCGATCGAAAATATTAAGTACTCTAAATATTATTAAAAGAAACTTTATATTTTAGTATAATTTCACGTTTAGTAATTTAGAATATTAAATGTACCAAACAAATAATTTAAAATACTAGAAGTATTTAAAAAATATTTAAAGATGTTAAATATAATACAAAATACTTTAAATGCTAAATGTGTCTAGAAAAATATTTTAAAATGTTGATGCACTTCAACCCAAAATTAATTTACAGCCGTCAACACTCTTTGACTATAATATTGTACTAGTACTAATTTTTCATTTTCAACATAATTTAGCTTATGTTTTTTTCCACATTCATTTTACCGCAAAAGACGCATGTCAGGTAGGTTTTCTATCCTCACAAATCGGTCCTTCGCTTCTTTTCAATTTCCACTTCCCAGCGGACAAAGGTGTCGACATTGTGCATTCTTTTCTGTCAGATTTTGGGTTAAGATTCACGCCTTGATCCTTTCTTACAGTACATCAAACGCTCTAATTTTATTTTTAATATACTTGTGCGGCTAAAAAAACAATATTGGAATGTCAAATGTATCCAAAATAAATTCAGAATACTAAATGCACTATAAGAAAATTAGAGTGTTGAATGCATCTAAAAAATAAAATCAGCGCATGCTTTATTTTTTTTCTCAGGGGTCGTATCAAATGCTATTCAAAAGTTAGAATAGGAGATGGTGCGTACATTTAGATTGGGGTAGAAAAAATAATTTATTTTAATTTAATTATTTTTAAAAAATAAGATTGGGTAAAAAGTAAATTGATTAATGTGATTTATATTTAGATTGACTTTTATAAAATTTAGTTTATAAAGTAGAAAAATTATTTAGATTATAATAAATAAGTTAGTTTAATTTGTATAGTGACCAAAATGAGTTTGACTTATATTAAATAATAAAAAAATGATTAAAATATAGATTTACAAAATACAATAATTTTAAATTATTATAATAAATAAAGTTATATTTAATAAATAAAATATATTTAAATTAGAATGATAGTAACATGATAAATAGTTTTCAGGTTTGTAAAAATGCCTTATTGTATACCAAGTTACTTTTTGAATAAGGACAGCTCTGTACAATGGTGGTTTCAAGCTCGTTTGCAAAAAAAAGCAACAAGGAGGCCCGTCTTTCTTCTAATTATATGATGGGATTTTTGAAAGAATGACAGAAAAAGAAATTGAAAATTATAAATCCTAAATTAGGTTTGGTAACATAATTTTATTTTGTATTGACAAGTCTGAATTGACAAATGACAACAAATTTTTATCGACATTTCTTGTTTGGTATTTACAAATTCCAGTTTTTTTTGTTATTATCTCAGATTTTTTCCTCTTTTTCTCTTTGATAATGTAAGTTTTGATCTATTAAGATTTTATTTTGTTTTCTGAAAAGTTCTCTTCTCTTCTTTTCTCTATTTTTTTGCACCAGGATGTTTTTACATCAGAAGGAAGTTTGAAGCTAAGAATTAATAAAATAGAAGAGGATTTATGTAACGAGTATTAGTTGATACCTCAGGAAAATAATTTATTTAGTGAAAGCCTATATTGGGATGAAATCAGAATAATCAGAAAAAAATTTGTTAAAAAAATTATATACAGGCCCATAATAAAAATTAAGGAAAAATTATAGATCTTCGTTTTTGAAAAAAAATAGCTTATGAAGAGTATTTACCCAACAAATCTTATAGATAATTAAAAGCTAAATTATGAAATTAATCTTATTCTCTGAAAAATCAAGAAAAATAGTTTGGAATTTACTTTGCTACCAAGAGTTTAGAGAAATTAATTTATACTAAAGTACATATTTAGTCCACTTTACAGAGAGTTTTAATTGCACGTTAATTTTAAAAAAGTATATTTTTAGTTCTTTAATTTGAAATCAAATCAATCAACAACAACTATATTTTTGAAAACTTGAAATGCGATGATCGTTTGAAAATAGATTAGGTATAACATTACTGGATTTGAACATAACTCATTATAATAAGATTTGAATAGCTATTGATTGAAATTTGAATATGTTGAATTAAATGGGGAACATTATAAATAAATAAAATTTTAATGGAGGATCAAATGAAGAAATTAATAATTAATTTTGAATTTGAATAATATTTTAATTGGGATTTGATATATTGAATTAAATATGTAGTATCATAATTAAATAGTATGTGAATCGGCAGTTTAGATGGAGACATAAATAATTAATTTCAAATTTTATCTATTCCTCCTAAATCTGTATATCTAATTCAAGTTCCATTTGAATGAATATAAAAAGATCACACTCTTATAAAAAAAGTAAATCTTGAGCTATAGTGGATAATGCCATTTGTATAATTTTAATCTAATAAAATATGCTAATTGTTGTATCGCAACGAGGAAAAATTCTAGTGGTTAACAAAAAATAATGATATTGAGATCTTAAATTTTATAAAATTTTTTAGATTAGATGCTAAACGTATTAAATTTAATTTTCAGAACAATCATCACTATTATAAAAATCATCATTTAATCCTAACAATTTTATTATTAAAGACTAAATGTATGCTTTTTAAAGTTAAAAATTAAATTATACTTATAAAAAATTAAAAAAAGCAAAATGTGTACTTTAGCAATTAATTTATAAGGTATCTAAGCTAATTTTTGGAAGCTGTTTGGCGTTTCCAAATAATGGATAAGGGATTAATTTGCAAACAAATGGTGACTGAATGGCATGATGGTCATTTCGCTTCTTCCCACCCATTAAATTCCCTCTTCCCATCCCCTCTTGTTTCTGGGGCCCCCGAACCAGAAGGAAGTGAGAGAGGGAGAGTGACACGGAGGAAGAGGAAGTGAAGGACATCTTGGCAACCGTGATTGTTGGCTAAGGTAAGCCTCCGGAATCTTTTCCCATTCTCATTTTCTTCATAGGTCGCTGTCTGGGGAGATGATGATGATGATAATCTGAATTTTGAAGTACTAAAATTTCATAAAATGAGTGTTGGTGAGAATTGTGGAGATGAATGCTTGATAATCTGAATTTTGAAGTACTAAGGATATAAACAGCCTCTGTTTTGATTGAGAAGGTTAAACTTGGTGTGTAAGGGAGCATTTTAAACGTTAGAGAAGATAAACTAAATTAAATTGATCAAATTTATGATTTTGGCAGCCCTGGAATTCGAATTCCTAAGGTTGAAATATTTAAGGAATTTGCTATTGAATACTATGTAGTGAGAATGATTGATTTAGTTATCTAGTTGTGTTTAGAGATGTTAAAAATCGAGAGTTAGAACTTGCTTATGAAACTGAAAGTTAAAGGTGAAAAATGAAAGGCAACAGCTGTTTTGATGCCTCTTTGTGCTAAGCAATCATCCTAGTTAACTAAATGGTGCTCGAGATATTTAAAAATGTTTTAACTTTGGAAATAATTCCAAAATTTATAAGTGGGGCTGTCCGAAATTATTTTGAGAATTAAAATGTTTGTATGTTAATGGAATTGAGTTATTGGAAGTAATGGGTATATGGTAAACTTATGTTGCCCCAACACTACATAGACAAGATCTTTTAATCTGATTAAGTTGCTGTAAATGTGAGAACACCTATACACAAATATGCAAGGCCGTAACAGAATTTTAGAAGCTGAAAACGATATGATATTGCTGTTTAATGCCATTTGGTGGTAATAAATGTTATAGCCATACATAAATCAGGGTTGGAGTCTTGGAGACACTTAGGTGAGGTTTGAATCAACTATTGATTTAAGCTTGTTGTTTGATGTCTTTGGATGCCAAATGGGAACCTTAGATGCATAAAGGATATTGCAACTATATATATATATATATATATATATATAATATAATATAAGTTTGTCTTAAAATTCCTTTTCCCTTGACGAGTATTAGAGTTCTGTGGTTCTTGCTTCTTGGGAAAAATTTTTAAAGGTTGATTTCTTTTCAAGATTCTCAAAGTTCATATGTGCCTTAAGAATGAGCTGAAGTCACTAAATAAGTTACCTAGTATAAGGTGTTACGTTCTTCCTTTTCCTTTCTTCTGGGCATCTCAGAGACAGATTTTGAGTGGGCGAGCGAGTTAAAGATATGGACGAGTATTCGTTGATCAATTCCTTCATTTGTTTAGAATGAGGCGATACACTGATTCTTTTCCTCTGCTATTCTTTTTGATTCCCTCTTCTTACTCTTGTCATTTTTCTCTGTTCTTTCATCCTCCCTATTATTCTTCTACACGTTCGAAGATGTCAGAAAATTTGATGAATGGTAAGTGCCGTAGATCTGGTAATGGTAGATGAATGATCCCAGTTCTATTCTACTCCGGATGGTAATTGTTTTTGGCCATTTAATCCTCTTCCTTCTTGCCATTCATTTTTTCTTTCTGTGAATATTCTTCTTCCTCTGTGTTTTTTTGGTTTTAAAGTTGAAATTGCAGCGCTCGCTGTAAGGTTCTGACTACGTAAAGCAGTTACAATGGATATAAAAGGATCTCTAAAGGCCTGAGCTAAAGGTTATGGAGGAATCAGTGTCCACAAACAAAATGCTTAGAACAGAGGAAGTTAAGGACAGGATCAGTGATTTGCCGGATTCTTTGCTTCTGCATATTCTCTCTTTTCTTCCAGCTAAAGAAGCTGTTGCTACGAGCCTCTTATCCAAGAGATGGAGACCACTTTGGCCTTACCTTCCAACTCTTGACCTGAGACGCCAGGACTTTGAGAGGCTTACATTCTTCCAAAAATTTGCAGACAATATGCTCAAATTTGCAGATTTGAAGTCTGTCAAAAAGTTCGTTCTTTGGTTCGGTTCCGATAAACCGTGTGAGTATGTTAGACCTCGGACGATTAGTAAGTGGATTAATGTTGTGATTGGTTATAAGATTGAATATCTGGAGCTACATTTGAAGCCCTATAATGGTGACTATGAGTTGCCCTCAGGTATTTTCACTAGTAATAGCGTCAAGGTTTTGAACTTGAGTACAGGAAGTTTTTGGTGGACTAGTGGCGTAACAGTGGGCACTCTTTCTCATGTTAATTTGCCTTTACTTGAAGCATTGCATCTGGAGAATGTTAAATTTCTAGATTTTAGAAGTTTGGGAATGCTTCTTTCTTCATGTCCTTTGCTCAAGCACTTGGTAGTAAAAATTTTGCATTTGGCCAGTTACTGTCCACTTGACATCGGAAGACTTAAGCATTTGGTCACTGCAGAAGTTCCACAATCACTTCTTCCATTGGAAGTTTTGTCTAACGCTGCATTTCTATGCTTCCGATGGGTATGATTTATGATGATATTGGTGAATTCATATTATTGGCTTTTTATTCTCACATTTAGTAGTTCAATATCTTCCTCTTGCAGCATAATTTTTCACAGATCAACCCCGATATTCCCACATTTCATAATTTAATCCGCTTGGAATTTGAATATTATTCTCATGACTGGAAAACAATATTGAAATATCTGCAAAGCTGTCCCAAGCTTGAAATTCTTGTGATTGATCAGGTTTGTTGATTTTCAACTTTACTTTATTGTGTTTATTATCATTTCATTGGTTCATTTCCTAACTCTATTGCATACGTTTGGATAGTTTGCTTGTAGCGAAAGCTTGGAACCAACGATTATTGATGTTCCTCAGTGTGTTTCATCAACCTTAAAGGAATTTCATCTTGGCAGCTACCGAGGCAAGAATTGTGAATTTGAACTTGCAAGATTTATTATGAAGAATGCATTGGTTTTGAGGATCATCTCAGTTAGCAGGGATTTTTGTTCAAGAGTAACTTGGAAGAACAAGATCCTCAAGAAAATATCATCATGTCCCATGAGCTCAGTGAATTGCAGGCTTTTGCTGAAGTGAACTGCCAAAATTTAGTTTGACGGTATTAGAAGTTTCTATTCCTTTTTGGAAGTTATCCCTTCCTATCCATCCTGGGTAAATTTGAAGTCTTGATAGAGCTTATTTCTTTTGTGCTTCTGTTAAAAAAATGTTGATTCACATTGTCTTTATCATTATCACCATCATCATTATAAACAAATGCAAGAGTTTTGATGACAATCTCCATCTGCAGTAGGCATTTCTCAAATCTGTATAAATAATCTGTCTAAATAACTAACTCATCATCTATTTAAAATTTAACATTATCCTTAGTCCTTTGAAACTGAACACATTATATTTTAAACAGATGCTGATGGTGTTGTAATGAAGATTCAATGCTGAAATGTATTATTCAATGGCCAAACTCCACGGATAGGCTCCAATGGAGAATTACAGCAAGGAAAACGAAACCGAAATGCTCACAGCATTTCCCTAGAGCCTCACGGCCTCTCCTACTTTTCTCTCTCTATTTTTCATATCCCCTCTCTATCCCAACTTCCCCAATTATACTCATCCCTTCCCATAACTAACTTCTAGGAAAAACCCACAATTACCCTTATCACATAAAAAGCATTACACATCCGAATTGGGCTTTTTCCTTTGTCTAACATACTTCTACTTGGGCCCATGCTCAACAATACCCCGCCCATCAAGCTTGACCTTGTCCTCAAGGTGAAAAGTGGGAAACTGTTGGTGAATGACATCATAATCCTCCCAAGTGCTATCGCAGTCAGCAAGGTTAACCCACTTAATAAGAAGTTCTAGTCGTCCATCAGTGAGTTTCCGATGCTTCAGCACAGATTCAGGATAAACCTGAAGTTCTAGGTCAGCCGTTAATGTGGACGGAAAGGAATGGGAAATGAGGCCAGGGGTCAGTGACTTCTTGAGTTGCGAAATATGAAACACTGGATGAATTTTAGCTTTCGGGGGTAATTTTAGCTTATAAGCTACACTGCCAATACGCTCCAGCACAGGAAAGGGACCATAGAACCGAGGAGTGAGCTTCTCATTAGGGCGAACAGCAAGGGAATGCTGCCTGTAAGGCTGTAGTTTCAGATAGACGTTATCACCAACATTGAAGTGGACGTCGCGCCGCTTTTTATCAGCATAGTGCTTCATATATTGTTGGGCCTGTTCTAAATTCCGCTTTAATTCATCCAGAATAGCATTACGGGCCTGAAGCTGTAAAGTAACAGCATCCACTGGAGACACAACCTCCTGGAACCGAAACAAGGTTGGAGGGTCCTGGCCGTATAGCGCACGAAATGGGGACATACCAGTGGAACAGTTGAAGTTAGTATTAAACCAGTACTTAGCCCAGCATAACCATTTTGCCCAAGTCTGAGGAGCATCACTACAAAAACAGCGCAAATATGTCTCTAAACTCCTATTAACCACCTCGGTTTGACCATCACTTTGAGGATGGTAACTGGAGTTGTAATTCAATGATGTACCAGCAGCTTTAAACAGTGCTTTCCAGAAGTTACTCAGAAAAAGTTTATCTCTGTCCGAGACAATGGAACGCGGAAAACCATGAAGTCGCACTACTTCTTGAATAAACAAGTCAGCAACAGTTTGGGCGGTATAAGGATGATGAAGTGGTATAAAGTGTGCATACTTGGTAAAACGGTCAACCACCACAAAAATTGTGTCGTATCGCTGCGATTTGGGAAGCCCGGAAATGAAGTCCATTGAAATATCTGTCCACACCTGATCGGGAATCGGAAGGGGTTGTAGCAGCCCAGCAGGACTAAGTGCTAGATGTTTGTTACGCTGGCAAATATCGCAGGCAGCCACATATTTCTGTACATCCTGACGCATGCCATCCCAATAGAAGAGTGTAGCCAATCTCTTGTAAGTTCGGAGGTACCCAGAATGCCCCCCAATCGGAGAAAAGTTTATCTCTGTCCGAGACAATGGAACGCGGAAAACCATGAAGTCGCACTACTTCTTGAATAAACAAGTCAGCAACAGTTTGGGCGGTATAAGGATGATGAAGTGGTATAAAGTGTGCATACTTGGTAAAACGGTCATACTTGGTAAAACGGTCACCACCACAAAAATTGTGTCGTATCGCTGCGATTTGGGAAGCCCGGAAATGAAGTCCATTGAAATATCTGTCCACACCTGATCGGGAATCGGAAGGGGTTGTAGCAGCCCAGCAGGACTAAGTGCTAGATGTTTGTTACGCTGGCAAATATCGCAGGCAGCCACATATTTCTGTACATCCTGACGCATGCCATCCCAATAGAAGAGTGTAGCCAATCTCTTGTAAGTTCGGAGGTACCCAGAATGCCCCCCAATCGGAGAATCATGAAATTCATGCAGCAACAGGGGAATTCGTGGAGAAGACTTAGGTAAGACTAAGCTGCCTTTAAAGAATAAGTGACCACCTTTGAGAGCATACCCTGAAATAGTCGGTTGACCAGTAGCCAGCTGCTGTATTATGCCAGCTAGAGTGTCGTCCTTTTGGACTTCAGAGTCCCAGGTATTCAGATCGTCTGACTGAGCCATAGTAATGGCATTGAGCCCCACGTGCTCCTGCTGTCGAGACAGTGCGTCAGCAGCAGAATTAGTCTTCCCTGGTTTGTACTGAATCTGAAAAGTGTACCCCATGAGTTTGGTCACCCACCCTTGTTGTGAGTCATCTAGAATTCGCTGTTCCAAGAGGAACTTAAGGGCTTTCTGATCTGTCCGTATAATAAATGGTCGACCCAAAAGATAATAGCGCCATTTCCTCACTGCAAAGACAATGGCCATTAGTTCTCTCTCATAAACAGAACAGGTTCTGCATCGAGCTGACAAAGAATGACTATAATAAGCAACTGGACGTGCAGACTGCATTAAAACCGCCCCTAATCCAGTGCCAGAGGCATCTGTTTCCACAATGAAAGGCTGGGAAAAATTCGGTAGAGCTAATACTGGAGTTGAAGACATTGCTTGCTTCAGTTTATCAAACGCAAGCTGGGCCTCTGCCGTCCAGTGAAAGGCATTTTTCTTGAGGAGGTCAGTCAGGGGTGCAGCAATTAACCCATAATGGTGCACAAACCGACGGTAGTACCCTGTCAAGCCTAAGAACCCACGAAGACTCTTCAGGTTGGTGGGGCCCGGCCAGGACTGCATACTTGCTATTTTGGAAGGGTCTACATGAACTCCATCCTTAGAAATAATGTGACCCAAATATTCCAATTTAGGTTGGGCAAAGACGCACTTCTTGACATTAATCACTAAGAGGTGTTGCCGTAATAGTTGCAGAGTCATACGCAAATGCTGGAAATGGCTGTTGCGGTCACCACTGTATACTAGGATGTCATCGAAAAATACCAAGATGAATTTCCGTAGGTGCTGTCTGAAAATATCATTCATGAGTGATTGAAAGGTAGATGGGGCATTTTTCAAACCGAAAGGCATAACCATGAACTCATAGTGACCATCATGAGTACGAAAGGCTGTTTTATGTTCTTCCCCTGCTTTCATTCGTATCTGGTGGTAACCAGATTTTAAATCTAGTTTAGAAAAAATATGAGCACCCCCTAATTCATCCAACAGCTCCTCAATAGCCGGAATGGGGAACTTGTCCTGAATGGTTACCTTATTCAAGGCCCTATAATCAACACAAAATCGCCAACTACCATCTTTTTTCTTTACCAGGAGTACCGGGCTAGAAAATGGGCTCTTACTAGGTCGGATAATTCCAGCTAGGAGCATCTCATGCACCAACCACTCAATTTTGGCCTTTTGGTAATGGGGGTACCTATAGGGACGAATATTAGGAGGATTGACACCTGGCTGCAACTCAACCGTGTGATCAACCGTTCTAGGAGGTGGAAGTCCGGGCATAGGTGTTTGAACTTCAGGGAACTCCACTAATACTGATTGAACCTCATCGTCCACAGGGGTGTATGTAATCTCTGTCATTTTTAATTCAGTAAACTCCACAAAGAACACCTCGTCATCGTACATGGTGGTTCTGTACAGAGAGTTGAAAGACATTGGAGTCTTGTGCAAAGTCGGATTGCCCTTGAGGCAAATCCATTCATCACCCAAATCAATCTTGAGTGTAGAGTGTTTCCAGCTAACCAGCACTTCACCGAGAGATGCTAACCAGTCTGCTCCCAGGATGATGTCTGACCCCCCAAGCTGAAAGGGATACAGGGAATGTATAATGTGGAGCCCTTGCACAAAGAAGGAGACATCACGACACACCCCACGACCTCTCACATTTCGAGAATCCCCCACCTGAACCGTAAAAGCAAAATGGGAATCCACTGGTAAAGATAGAGCCAGCACCAGCTCCTGGTGGATGAAACTATGTGTAGCGCCACAATCAATCAGGATTAATACCTCCTTCCCACCAAGAGACCCCAATAACTTAATTGTTTTGCCCCTCGTGAACCTAGCCAATGCGTTAAGGGATAGGGACATAAGCTGTCCGGAATGCTTCTCGGCCTCCGAAGGAAGGTTTGATTCGGATAACTCCAGGTGAGCTGGTTCCAATGGTAGCTCGTCTTCTTCAGCGGGTTCCTCCGACATAATCAGCACCTGTAATTGCTTTTTCTTGCAACGATGGCCAGGGCGATACTTCTCGTCACATTTGAAGCATAACCCAAGTTCTCGCCGCCGTTCAATTTCCGCGTCGGTGTATTTTTTTGGGACCGATTTGGAAGTATATGTAACTGGAATCATGGTCTTCTTGCTATCATCGGTTGATTTGCTTTCCGCCGCTCGGGCTGTACTTAGTGTAGACGCTGCCGTGGACTGGCTAGGAGCTGATTGAGGACTCAGGCGAGTGGACGAAACTCTAGGTCCTTGAAACCTGTCTTCGGCCTAGTGCCTAGGCGGCCCAGATGAGCGTGGGCTATAATATTGGGCCATCACACCGTTTCGTTCTTCCAGCCGTAGAGCCATGTCCATATACGCAGTCAGGGAACCCAATTTCATCAAGCGTAGGTCCGCCTTGATCTCCATTTTCAAGCCATTCAGAAATGCAGCAACAAGAACCTCTTCTTGACAATTCCCCAAGGTTGCAGAGATTAATTCGAATCGCTCGATGTAATCGGCAACAGATTTGTCTTGGCGTAGAGCCATCAACATTTCGTATGAGCTGCCACATTGCGATGGATGAAATCTAAGTACCAAGTCGCGTTTCAGCTCAAGCCAAGTCGAAACAGGGGCCCACA